CCAAGACCCCATTTCCAAAGATGGTTGAATGCACAGATACTGCAGTTCAGGATTTCAACATACTTGGTATTTGGGGGGCAAGCAACAAAAAATTCTACCAAATACAGATGCCAAGGCTTTTGAAGTAGTCCTTGAGTCCCTGGTGTCCCAAGGACAGCTCTGCCTGTGTGTCCCTACTGCACTGAGTCACCGGCAGTGAGCTGCTGGTGGACAGCCTGTTGATGCATTTCAGGGTACCGCAGCTGGGCTCTTGATCAGCCATCCTTATGGCTGCCACAGGTATCTTTTTGTAGATTTGTGTATTTTTGAGCATCCACAACAAATTATTGTCAAGAAAAGTCAGAAACTTCATTTTCAAGAAGTTTCTTTTAAGGTTTCTGCAGATCTAATTGGTGCCTCAATTGGCAGGTGCAAGTTAATTATGTGGGTACTTAATTGCTAATTTCCTATGCAAAGCAATATTTGAACTTTTAGTTCTCAATTGAACATGCATCAAAATGGGATTTGAACTGCTCAAAGACACTGCAAAATTTCTAAGTGTATTTTTTTATTAGCTTGCTCCCATACTGTCAATACGGTATCTTGTTTGGAAGAGTAACACTGGCAACACCATTTGATACATAAACATGTTAAAAAGAAATGTTCTTATTTCTGTAAAGCTAAACATCTAGACAGACTCAAAAATATGTTTACTTCTTTAAAAAAGAATGTCTACTGTATAAAAATTTCCAAACTGATCATTAGAAAGTGACCATTAAAATCACATCTGAAATCATCTCATACTCACATATGAGAGAGGACCCTGGGAAAAAAAAGGGAATCACCTTCTGCAGGGCGGGCCCCTTCTGGTACAGGCTTCCCCAACTGGTGAGTTTCCTAGGAACCCCTCTGTGTCAGTGTAGCAACTGTCCTGTTGTGAGGGTCTGTGTACAGTTTCAGTGAGGTTTTTTTGAACTCTTTCAACATGTTTGCACATTTCATGATGGGTGAGTTACCAGCATATTTGTCCACACTTAGTGTTCAGCAGTTTTTGACCCCCAAATGGCATGACTCTGGGGCCCCTCACTCTCCCTATTCAACTGATCTGAGCAGGATGAAAAAAGTCCTCAAAGGAAAACATTTTGCAGATGTGGAAGAGGTGAAACAAAATGGTGGAAGCACTATAAGGCATCAAAATTGGTAAATTCAAAACTGTTTTGAGCAGTGAAAGAAAGTCTTATAGGTGTATTGCATCAAATGAAGAGTACTTTGAAGGTGACTGAAGTTTAAATGTGTAAGAATAAATAAATACTGTTTAGGGGTTATTCCTTCATATATGTAAACTGTTAAATCTGTCTTTACAGAAAGTATGCATATATGTGGGATTTCTTAATTTATATATAAACCAGGGTCATGACACATTTTGTTTAGGATCTGGTAGGCAAAATTCTAGGGTAGTCCTCAAAATTTCTGCCAGCAGTACACATACCTCTCAGTTATTCAAACAGATCCTAATCCATCGACTGCTGTGAAAGGATTTGCAGATAAGATTAAGGTCTGAAATTAGCTGACCTTAAAATAGAAGTTTATCGCAATGTTCTCAACCCTTTAAATCTGAATCGAGAGGTCAGCAGTGGAGGAATTTAAAGATTGAAAGCATGAGAAGGATTTGACACCATTGCTGGTTAGGGGTTAGAGGCGGTGCCTTAAAGAAGCTGAGACAGTCCCCCACTTTTCAGCTGACAGACAACAAAGAAACAAGGGACTGTCACGGGCCCTCTATTATTGTCACAAGGCACTGATTTAGGTCATCAATTAAAACAAGTTTGGAGATTTCCCTAGAATCTCCAGCAAACACTTTGATACGAAAATCTTCAGCAGAGGATTCAGTCACGCCATGCCAGACTTTTGACCCACAGAACTTAGTGATAAAACTAGATGTTGTTTTAAGTTGCTAAAATTGTAGTAATGGAAAACAGAAACAGTGTTTTAGTTTTTAATTTGATAATATAGCATTTGGATTTTTTAAGCTTATTTCATCTAATTTTGCTATGTTACCATAGAGTTTTCATACAATCTTTTACAAGTTTCAATGAGGTTCGCTGTTAGATTAGTTTCTTTGAGTAAAATCACTGGGTATGAGTATATCCATAAAATTTAAAGATTTTCTATTCAAATTTCAACCACTTGTGAAAAAAATGTTCTCACAGTTTATATCTCTATTGGAACAATTTGAACATGTTCATTTCTGTTTTCTACTTGTCAACAGTGTGACAATTTTTTTCCAATCTTAGAGCTGAAAAGTAGCGTTTCTTTTCCTTGGCTTACATTTCTTTGATTGTTAAAAATATATTTCATACATATATTAGCTATTTAATTTCTTATGTTGTGTCTTACTGATTCATTTCAGCTGTTCCTTTTTGTACTCATGTGATTAATTTAAATATATCTGTAGAGTTGTTTATCCCTTCAGAGTAATATTTACCTTTTCTCTGTCACATGTGCTGGAGATATTCCAGTGTGTCATTTGCCTTTCACATTTTTCTGGTATTTCCTCTTAAATCATCGGAACATTTTAAACAATTTCTAGTTGAAAAATTATATTCATTTTCTCTACATAAAGTTTTCACTTTTGGAGCTCTTCCTACTTATAATTTAACTTACAATTTTTTTCTACCTGATAATATTGCCCAACATTTCAATGTACTTAATAAAACCAACTACAGAGGAAAGTAGACGTGTATCTAAGAGTTAAAATAACTATTATGTCCCTCCTGAAAGTGTAATTGGGGACAGAGTGAGGGCCCCCAAATTAGCAGAGTATATTCCCCACGAACCTTAACTGGGGGGAAGGGAGGAGTGGCTGATACAGCATTTAAGATACTTTGCATAACAACTGCAAGTTAATAGCCATGCTGCCGCCCCAGGTAAAAGGTGTAGTGATCTTAAGAGTGTGTAGTGACTTGTGACATAGCCAGGGGAGTTGGAGTCCTCAGTGTCACAGGGCACTCTTGCCCTGACTCAAGATGGCAGCTGAAAGAAGGTAAAAAATACAGAGGAACTGGCAAAAGTAGCACATCACAGGAAGTCACCTAGGAAGTTCCAGGTCGAGCGTTTAAAATAAGTGCCGGCTGAGAGAGGAGGAGGAGGCAGACATGCAGTTTGAAAGGGTGTAGAGAAGGGGTGAGGTCTGCCATGAGGTGTGGAGTCAGAGTGCGCCACGAGTTCTGGAGTAAGAAAAAGTAGACCTGCTGGGAAGCTGGCATGGACAGGATGGCGGCCGAGCTGATGGAGCTGTGCGAGGACCCTCCCAGCCACCCGGACTCGTGACAGGTGCTTGGGGCTGAACTGTGACTGGGAACGCCGATCTGCAGACTTCTACTTTCCTGAAAGACAGTACCTCTGACTGGCATATTCTAAAACTGGCCTGGTTTGGCAAAGGGAGGCAGGACTGTGTGTTGGGGTATTTTAAAGGGTGTGGGACTTAAATGGCAGAAATCCACCATTATTCTAAATCTGTATAACCTTTAAATAAACAAGTTCTTTGCTTTTTCACCAAACTTGCATTGAAAGTCACGCTTCGTGATGGTGGGCAATCAAACCCCACAGCTGTTCTAAAATAGCATTGGTGGGATTCTGTAAAAACAGACGATAATTATTCTCAAACTGATAAGTGTTTCCATTTTTATAATCTTGTTATGCATGCAAGAGTAACTTTGGGGTTGCTGAGAGTCCTTTTTGTTCTTTTAGGACAGCATTTTTATCACAGAAGCAAACTAGTTGACTGACAGGGCTTCATACAGAATCAAGAAATATATGGTGTTTACAGAAATACCCAAGGACATTTTTTCATCGCCTTTTAGAGAAATAGGATGGGGAAGAGGGAAACATGATTTGAGAGAGAAGTATATATTGGTCGCCTCCTGTTCTCGCCCAGACAGGGGACCAAACTTGCAGTCTCAGTGTGTGTCCTGACCAAAAATTTACCCTTTCTCTGTCACATGTGCCAGAGAAACACAAAGGTTGAAACTGCAACCTTTCAGTTACAGGACAACACTCCAACTAACTGAGCCACAGCAGCCAGGGCTAGAAATATACATTTAACAGTAAATTAGTTTGCTATGCAAAATGCAGTGATTGCTGGTTTCTCTTATGATGCCCTCCCCCAAAATGACTATTTGAATCCAGTAATACATAAAAGAAATAAAATATGACAACAAATCAGGTCTATTTTTAAAATGTACAGTTTAACATCTGGAAGAATAAATATACCTCATTACACTTGCAGAACTAAGAGGGAAAAGTGAACATTAAACATAAACATAAAACTATTTGATAAAGTTTGCCTCCCATTTATGGTAAAAATTCTTAGCTAGGAAAAGAAGGGAATACTTTTAATTAGAAAAATTACATATCTACAAAATTCTTGTAGAAAACAACAAACTTAGCAGTTACATTAAAAAAAAAACAACCTCCTTTACACCTGGGGACACCACCAAGAGGCCCTCTCCTGCCATTTGCATTTAGCATTGCACTGGTGATTGCAGCTAGTTCTAGTCAAGAAGAGCCGTGAAAAGGGACAGGGAGGAACAAATATAATCATCTTTATTCACAGATGAGTGTGACTGTGCAAGTAAACAGTTCAAAATTATCTATATACAAATTATGAAAACTAAAAGCAAATTTAGCTGATACATATAAATAATTTTATATTTATATTCCAGCTGTAAAAAGGTAGAATATAAAGTTCTAAAATAATGTTTATAATAGTATTTTTAATAAAATTTGGTAGATCTACAAGAGCTCTATGAAACATATTGAGGGCAATTAAAGATTATATAAACAAATGTCAGACTATATCATTTTCATGAATTACCAGCTCAATATAAAAAAGATGTCAATATGCACTTTATAACTGAATCCCTAGCTTCCAAATAATAACAAAAATTTTATAAGGCTTTTGTTTTGAAGTTATCAAGGTGATTCTAAAATTTGGAATTTATATTTGTCATTTTTTATAGAAATAAAAAGCACAAATAAAATCATGAAGAAGAAAAAGAAGAGTGGAGGGTATGTACTGTCGGCCATTACAGCTCACACAAAGCTACAATGATGAAGAAATGAGGTATAGCACCAAATCGGACAATCGATGAATCAGAAGTGGATCTAAACTGACATTGTCTCTTGATTGAGAACAAAGAGAGAGAAAAGATGGTCTGTTTAATAAATGCTGCTGTATCATTTGGATAGGCATATGCCAAAGAAGAAATCCTAATTCCTATCCAACACCATAAGCAAAAATCAGTTTTAGATGGAAATGTAAAGTTAAAAGGTAAAAATATTGAGAATTTCAGAAAAACAACATATGCTATCACAAATAGCATGAAACATAAAAAGAAAAAATGACAATTTGGACTATAATAACTAATTTTGTTTACCAGAACACCACTTAAGAGTGAAACAATGTCATAGAGTCGGGAAAAATATTTGTGATACATATAGTTGATAATTCATACAAAGAAAACAAAAGACTCTTATAAATCAATGAAAAAGGTATAAATGCATTGGATTTTGCCTATTCAGATTTAAAAGACTTGAATATCATGCCACAAGGGACAATATCCAAATGACAAATAAACATAGTAAGATGCCTGAATTTGTTTGTCATCTGGGCAATGCACATAAATCACAATGAAAGTTCATCTAGCTGAACAATACAAATACACTTTTATTTTAAAAAATTTATTATATTGTCTCTATTACCATTTAGTCCCCTTATATCCTCTTCCCCCCATAACTACCACGCTGTTTTCCATGTCCATGAGTCCTTTTTCCTTTTTGGCTCCATCCCTCCATCAGCTAACCTCCTCCCTCTAGCTATTCTGCTTTCCATCCATGAGTCTGTCCCTATTTTGATTGTTCGTTTAGTTTGTTCATTGAACAAACACATTTTATTTTTATTTATTTATTTATTTATTTTTTATTTACTTATTTTTCAAGTACAGTTTTCTGTCTGTTGAACAAACACATTTTTAGAATTAAAAACATTTATTGTTATTGATCCAGGCAGGAGAGCTGCCACTTATAGAATTAACTGCTATGCTTTCTAAAAACATTTTATTAATATTCAAGGTTGGTTTATACATTATAGCTTCCCAAATTCATGGCAATAACTTTGTTGTAAGATATTGTTAAAAAAGATCTAATTTCGAGGCACGGGTGTTAAATGTCAGTGATAATCTTGGTTTATTCCCTATTGTCACTGTGTCAACAATAAGTAATATAGTCGCTCTATTTAGAACACTTTTTTTACATAATTAGTGTGTAATTTCTGATTCTTGATTTTTATAGGACATACAAATGCTTGCCTTGATGTATTGTATTCTGGTGTTTTTAATAAAAATGTAATTCTCCAGTAAAACAAAATTTACCACATGTAGATATAATTATAAATGTATCAGAATGGGTAAAACTTAAAAGCCAGAAAAATATCACAATTCTTGGTGATAGTATGGAATAATCAGCACTTATCATATATTGCTAAGTGAAGTTCAAATTGGTACAGCTACTTGGAAAATAGATTCATGGTGTTTGTAAAACCAAGCATATACAACTTCATGACTCAGTAATTTTGATCCTAATAATATAACCAAAGAACAGCATTATTTGCTATATCCAAAAGCTAGAACAATTCACAAATTCATCCAAAATAGGGTGAATATATTATGGTACATGAATATGATGAAATATTAGACAGCAAAGAAATACCACAAAGATAATGTTTAGTGACAAAAGTCAGAGACAAAAAGGTGACTACATAAATCTGTGTATAGTCAAAAATAGTAAAAAATAAATAAAAATAGGCAAACTAGTAAATATTATTAGAAGTCAAGATAGAGATCACCAACTCTGGGAGGGGGCATGAGATATATTCCTGGGTGCTGGTAATATTATATTACTTGATAAAGCTTTTCAGATATGTTCCCTTGGTGAAAATTCACTGAGATACACCATTTTTTGTATTCTTCAATAGAAAATATTCTTAAAAATTAGGTTTTCATCTCTAAGATGGCAGTAGAGTAGGTAGAAGCTACACTAACCTCCCTTCATGACCAAACTGGAATTACAACTAAATTCTAGAAAAATCCTTCTGAATAACCAACTGAACACTAGCTGGAAAGAAAGAACCCTTACAACTAAGAACTTATAGAAGAAACAACATCACCACAGCATGACTAGCAGGGAGTGCAGGGGCATGAGATGGCTGGCGGGGCTCCAATGGGTGGCAGCTGAAGAAATGGAGGGCATATTTCAGCAGCCAGAGGGTTACCCCTGAAATATGTTGGGTCTAAACCCCAAGCTGGTCTCCCCAGCCTACAGCATCAGAGCTGGGAAGGAACACAAATAACATCTGGTTTTGAAAAACATTGGTATTTCTGTCTGCAAGGAAGAGCCAGCTATAGATGCAGAAAGCCTTTTAAAGGGCCAACACACAAAATTTTGTTTGTAGCCACTTATCCTGGGCTGCATCAGAGGGAGGACAAAGTGAACTAGAGATGCCTGAGGAGATTTTTGGGTTGGTGGCTCTGGGAAGAGAGCTGAAGAAACAGCCACAGGATACCAATGCCAAGTCTTTCCCCATACTGCAGAGGTTATCTTTCTCCAGCAGAGCATACCCCTCTGAACAACATCAGCTGGAGGAAGCAATAGAAATCACCCTTTGATTTCTATTTCTGTCAGGGGAACCCACAGATATCATCCTTGCCCCACACAATGTGGAGCTTAAGCCAGACCGTGGAGTACAGCTAGAGGCTATTTCAGTGATTAGTCTTAACAGCAAAGGTGGGTCTCTGGGAACTCTGAGACTATAGCTACCCCTCTTCTGGGCCCAGTGCTGGTAAAAGCTGGCCTTGGTGTCCAGCCTGGTTATTTCTGCACACACCAATGCCCATAAGAAGGTTAGGGTTAGAAAGAATGCAATATCTGAAATAAACAATACACAGGAAAAAATAAATAGATTAGATGAAACAGAGAACTGACTCAGAGATTTAGAAGACATGGTAGAAAAAAACACCCTAGCAGAACAGCAAAAAATAAAATAGAACTTTAAAAAATGAAGACAGTTTAAGAAACCTTTGGGACAATATGAAGCATAACCACATCTGCATCATCGGAATACCAGAAGGAGAGGAGAGTGATCAAGGGATGAAGAACCTATTTGAAAAAATAATAACCGGAAACATTTCTAATCTGGTAAAAGAAAATGATATACAAGTCCAGGAAGCTCAGAGAATCCAAAACAAGTTGGACCCAAAAAGGCCTGCACCAAGACACATCATAATTAAAATGGCAAGGCTTCAGGATGAGGAAGGAATCTAAAAAGCTGCAAGAGAAAGCCAGAAATTACCTACAAGGGAGCTCCCATTTGATTGTTAGCAGTTTTATCACCAGAAACATTTCAGGCCAGAAGGAATGGGCATGAAATATCCAAGGTGATGAGAAGTAAGGACCTATAACCAAGGCTACTTAAACCAGTAGGGTTATCATTTAAAATGGAAGGGAGATATAAAGGGCTTCCCAGACAAGCAAAAATGGTTTGTTAACACCAAGCAAGTACTGCAAAAAATATTAAAGGACTTGCAAGAAGAAGAAGACGAAGAAGAAGAAGGAGAGATAACAACAGAGGAACATAGGTAACAAATAAAATGGCAATAAATATATATCTATCAATAATCACTTTAAATGTAAATGGCTTAAATGTCTCAATCAAAAGACATAGGGTAGCTGAATGGATAAAAAACAAGACCATATAAATGCTAGTTCCAAGAGACCCACCTCAGAATAAAAGATACACACAGACTAAAAGTAGAGGTGTGGAAAAAGATATTTTGTGTAAATGAAAAAGAAAAAAATCTGGGTAGCAATATTTATATCTGAGAAAACAGATTTTAAATCCAAGGCTATAGTAAAAGACAGAGAAGGACACTAAAAAATGATAAAGCAAAGAATCCAACAAGAGGATATAATCCTAGTAAACATTTATACACCCAATATAGGAGCACCTAAGCACATGAAACAAATCTTGATTGAAATAAAGGGAGAGATTGACAGAAATACAGTCTTAATAGGGGATTTTAACATCCCATTGACTTCAATGGATTGATCTTCCACACAGAAAATCAACAAGGAGATAGCAGCCTTAAAGAACACACTAGATCAAATGGATTTAACTGATAGCTTCAGAGCATTTCATCCCAAGGCAGCGGAACACACATTATTTTCAAGTGCATCTGGAACATTTTCTAAGATAGGCCACAAATAGGACACAAAACAATTCTCAATAAATTTAAGATTAAAATTATATCAAGCATCTTCTCTGACCATAATGGTATGAATCTAAAAATCAATTACAAGAAGAAAAATGAAAACTATACAAAGGCATGGAAGTTAAAATAGCATCTTATTAAACAATGAATGGGTCAACAATGAAATCAAGGAAAAAAATCATAATATATTGGCTTGGCCAAAAAGTCCCCATGGCTTTAAAAAAAATACTCAGGAATAAATTTAACCATGGTTGTAACAGACCTGTACTTGGAAAATTACAAGATATTGAAGAAAGAAATTAAGTCAGATACAAATAAGTAAAAGCACATACTGTGTTCATGGATAGGAAGAATTAACATTAAAATGTCCATACTACCCAAAGCAATCCATGGATTCAACATAGTTCCTATCAAGATGCCAACAACATATTTCACAGAAATAGAACAGATATTTCCAAAATGTATGTGGAAGCATAAAAGGACTCACATAGCAACATCAATCCCGAGAAAGAAAATTAAAGTTGGAAGAATCACACTACCTAATATCAAATTATACTATAAGACCATAATCATCAAAACAGTATGGTACTGGCATAAAAATAGACGCATAGATCAATGGAATAGAATAGAGAACCCAGAAATAAACCCACATCTTTATAGTCATTTAATATTTGACAGAGGAAGCAAGCACATACAATGGGCTAAAGATAGTTTATTCAACTGTCCTTATCGGAAAATTAGATAGATATGTGCAAAAAAATGAAACTAGACCACCTTCCTACAACACATGAAAGAATAAGTTCAAAATGGATTAAAGATTTAACTGTTAGACCCCAAAACCATAAAAATCCTAGAAGAAAAAATAGGCAGTAATCTTGGACATTGCTTATAGAAATATTTTTTTCTGATATATGTCCTCATGCAAGGGAAACTAAATAACAAATAAACTAATGGGACTACATCAAATTAAAAAAATTTTACACAGCAAGGGAAACCATCAACAAAATAAAAAGACGACCCACTGAATTGGAGAACATATTTGTCAGCACATCTGATAAGGGGTTAATATCCAAAATTTATCAAGAACTTATAAAACTCAATACCACAAAAAAAACCCCACCAAACAATCTAATTAAAAGATGGACAAAGAACCTGAATAAACACTTCTCCAAAGAGGATATACAGATGGCCAATAGACATGAAAAGATGCTCAATGCCAGTAATCATCAGAGGAATACAAATTAAAACCACAATGAGGTATCACCTTACACCTGTCAGAATGGCTATCATCAGTAAATCAACAAACAAGTGCTGGTGAGGATATGGAGGAAGGGAAACCCTAGTGCACTGTTGGTGGAAATGCAGATGGGTACAGCCACTGTAGGAAACAGTATGAAGTTACCTCAAAAAGTAAAAAATAGCCCTGGCTGGTGTGGCTCAGTGGACTGAGCACTGGCCTGCAAGCCAAAGAGTTGCAGGTTTGATTCCCAGTCAGACCACACACCTGGGTTGCAGGCCAGATTCCTGGTGGAGGGCACACGAGAGGTAACAATACATTAATGT